CCAAATCCGATTTGATAAGGTTTAGATTGGATTGGATCCAAACCAAAACCAATCGATTGACACCCCTACTAGCATTTCAGGCATCAAAGTCATCTACCAACTCGAAGGCCTTATCTGCAATTCATACAACTGATACTACAGATAATGATTGATATCCTGACACGGGCGCAACTCATCATCTCACTCCTGAATTGAACAATCTCTCCATTCACAATACTTATCATGGCAATGACAAAATAGCCGTTGGGAACGACACAGGATTGGATATTCATCATACAGGGAATACTATTCTACATACTCCCCTTCGTTCCTTTCATTTAAAGAATATCCTTCACGTCCCTGTCATAACCAATAATCTCCTATCTGTTCGACAATTTTGCCATGATAATGATGTGTTTGATTTTACTGATTTTGAGTTTACCGTGAAGGACAAACACTAGAGGATCCCACCCGCTTCCGGGCAGCTTAAGGATGGTTTATATAATCTTGACATATCTTTAGTTGCTTCCAATGAGACTTCTAATAATGGATGACTTGTGGGTAGCACTCAGACTTCTCTTTTGGACTGGCACTATAGGCTTGGACGTCCACATGAGGGTGTACTTCAACAGTTGGCTCGTCACAAGCATATCTCCATCAATACAAAAGGCAGCTTACATGTGTGCTCCTCTTGCTTTTGTGGAAAAGCTCAGTCTTCCTTACCAACTTTCTTCTATTATCATTACAAAGCCATTCTGATATATGGGGACCAGCCCCCTTAGTTTCTGATGATGGAGATCGATATTATATTATCTTTGCTGATGCATTTAGTCGTTTTACTTGGTTGTTCCCTATTCATGCTATATCTAATGCACTATCGATTTTCATCGCCTTCCGTACCATGGTTGAAAAACTATTGGGTCACTCTATTAAAATTTTTCAATCTGACGAAGGTGATGAATTTAAGAAATTCAAGAATTATCTCTCTGAGGTTGGCATTGTCCTTCGCTTCAATTGCCCCCATACTCATGCTCAGAATGAGGTTCCAGAGCGAAAGCATCGTCAGAGGCTAGCATTGACTACTTACTTAGTCAATTGGTTGCCCTCGCCTTCTCTTTGCCACAAGTCTCCATTTGAGATATTATTTGGAAACTGCCCAGATTATGACTTCCTCAAGGTCTTTGGATGTAATTGCTATCTAAATTTGCGACCATACAATAAAGCGAAATTTGATTTTCACACTAACTTGTGCACATTCATTGGCTATAGTCCGAATCACAAAGGAATATCATTGCTTCCATGTTCCTATTGGCCGCATTAATGCATCATGTGATGTGGTTTTTAATGAGTCCTCTTTCTCTTATGAGGACATGAAAGACTCTCCCACCATTTCATCCTCAATGGACACCTTCTCTATTCTAGGGCCACCACCATGTGTGTTTCCTTCTCAGCCCACTACAGATGTTGTTGCACCTCCATTGCATCTACCACGTGCCCCACATACTGATGTTGATCCACCATGTGCCCCACATACCGCTCCGGGCACCACCATTAATGATGCCATCGTTCAGCCCGACTCCTCTACTATCACCATAGTTCCTACCCCCTCTAATGAGCTTCATGATGTAATTGATGTATCTTCTACCACATCCACTCATGGCATGCAATCCCGATCTAAATCCAGTGTTTACAAGCCCAACCCACAGTATTCCTTCAGTGTTACTTCTCTTCCCGAAGAGGAACCTTCCTCTTACTCCATTGCCTCACGTGATAGCCAATGGCATGCTGCAATGAGTGATGAGTTTCATGCTCTCTTATGAAACAGCAGATGGTCTTTGGTTCCTCCTCCCCATAGTCACAATATTATTCCTTGCAAATGGGTATGTAAAATTAAACGAAAGAGTGATGGTTTAGTGTAACGCTTCAAGACCCGTCTAGTAGCCAAGGGCTTCCACCAGCAAGAAGGCACTGATTTTGATGAGACCTTCAGCACGGTTGTTAAACCGGCTACTGTACGGGTCGTTCTCTCTCTTGCCATCTCACAATCTTGGCCATTCGCCAATTTGACATCAGCAATGCATTCCTTCATGGTAATATCTCTAAAGAGGTCTACATGGCCCAACCTCCAGGCTTTGTTGACCCTTCACGACCTTCACATGTATGCAAGTTACATAGCTCCATTTATGGCCTCAAGCAGGCCCCATGTGCTTGGTTTCAGCGGCTATGGGATTGTCTTGTTCTTTTTGGATTCATGGAATCTAAGGCGGATGCCTTGTTATTTGTTCTCCACACTCACTCTACAGTTGCACTTGTTTTGGTGTACGTTGATGACATTATCATCATCGGTTCTACAGCTGATGTGGTGGTTGCTATCATATCTCATATCTCCTCTAATTTTTCTCTCTTGGGACCTTGGTGGTGGCTTAATTGGTGGATTCTCTTCCAGATTATGGTGGACATTCGGGATCAAATCTCACTACCACAAGAATTGGGAATTATTTGGGTATGGGAAATGGGCTACACCCTGTTATGTAGCTTTGTGAACCAAAAAAAAATGTATATATTAATTTTTTAATGTTGCAATACCAATTGGTTGGGTTTAACATATATATATATATATATATATATATATGGTCCACTTCAACTAGATCCAAAAATGCATGTCTTAATGTCACCTGCTAGAGGCAGATCGAAAAGAACTTGGGTGAAAATAATAAGAAATGATTTAAGTATGACCCATAATTTAGAAATGGAATGGAAGGTCAAAATAGGATTCATGTAGTTGAGAGAACGGTTGAAATTATTGATATGAATCGTATCATATTTTACAATATGTGTCTAATTTTAAGGTTTTATTGATACAAAATATGAGGAATTGGAGACAACCATGAGCTTTAAACAATATTAATAAATGAGTAATAGTGGTAGTTTTATGGGCATTGACTAGAACTAGAGTTATATATAAGAATATATGGATGGTTAATTAAAAGTGCTTGGCAGTACTAAGTGAAATTTTCAATATATACCAATCCAGCACATCAATACGTTCAACCATCGATAGGACAAGGCTTAGATGTTGTTGTGTTTGATGATGATAGTGAAAGAGACTCTGTGGTGATTTATATCCTCTAAATTGGATTATAATTAAGAATTTTTAAGACCTTTATTGCTAGTTATTAAGAAATGGTGCACACAAACCTTCTTAATGGATAAAGATAAATCAAAAGTTTTCATTTTTTCAAAGTAGAAATGATGATGAGATGCAAAGTGCTAACCAGCTGGTTGGTAAGATTTCTCTGCTGGTGCCTGGTGGTAGCGAAGACTTGGGATCATTGCACCTGGGTTGCGGGATGGGCTACCCCATTGTGTTTTCCTTTCAAATTAAATAATACCAACAAAAAAAAATATGATGAGATGATAATTCATATATATTGGGGAAAGAGGATTCGCGCTTGTTTGTTTCTCAAAACTAATGAATTGTTTGGAGTGTAGGCAAACCAATATTGTACGAAAGAATTTGATTTGAAGGTGGCATACAACAAATTAAATCATGATCACTGTGGAAATTATTAATTAGGTTTCGATGATTGAGTTTAGGTGTGGTGTACAGGCCGGTCAATTCAAGAGGGAAAGGAGAATGAATATACACAGACTTAGGTTGGTTTTAGGATTGAAAATTGTATAAAATCTTATATTTTCTTAATTTTTTTTTCCATAGTGGACAGCGGATTTATCTCTTATATGTGAACGCAATTTTTGCTTTCTCTTTCTCTTTAATTTTCAATTGGTCTTTTCGTTATTTCTTACATTGAAAACATGAAGCCCAAATTGCCAAAAATATTGCCTTTCATGTATTATTATTATTAAAATTTGTACTTTTTACTTTCACTCACCCACAGTGCAAATTTTGCATCCCAAAAACTGTACCAAAATTTGCATCATCTTCTTCCTACCTCAATCCTATTCAGTTCAAAATAAATAATTAATCCTCCTCATACTCCCATTCTCTTGGTCAGGACTATCTCATTTGGCTTCCTATTTTACTTTTCCGTTTACAAATAGATAAAGACAAAAGTTAAGTCCGATGCTAAAGGCTCAGTTACGTTGATTGGAAGGAGTATAAATACAAAATACAAGGTTTTACACTCTACATATTTGTATTTGTACTCCTTCCAAACTGATTCTAAAATAAACCAGAATTTCTTATTTGTACTCCAATGCATTTACACAAATGCAAATTAGATTTGCACTGTAAACAAGGTGAGCCTGAATCCTATTATAAACAAATTTCTTTACAAACCCTAAAAAAAACTTAGCACTGCTCAAGTGTTAGTAGTCCTCCCTCTTTTCAATGTGGAGAAAACTTTGACTCGTTGTGCATGAGTACTAAACTCCAACTAGTCTTAGTAGCTCTTGACCTTAATCAAGCCCCAAAAAGACTAAAGGCTATGGCAAATGAGGCTCGCCCACATGGCCACTTGAATATGCTGCCGACAGACATCCACAAAAGTCCAATTAATCCACACCATCCACAGAAAAGGAACAGTGATTTTCATCCAATATGCTCTCCAGATAATCCAACCTCAGAAAGCCAAATACCATTCGTCTCATCTAACCTTAACAAAGCCAAGATCCTAGGCCAAGACCCAGTGGCCCACTTCAGAGGAATCCAACCCGCATTCAAACAAATTCTTTCCGGATAAACAACCACCCACCCACCTCACATAAAACAATCTTGAAAAAGAAACAACTGCGTGCAAGGCACGTGCTTCCTTCCATTTTGTCCCAGTAGGAAACACCCCAAATCGACCTTTTAAATGACGCATACCTTCAAATAAGTTCCGGGTTGTGCAGTCCTTGGCCCGATTACCAAACCCAGTTCCTTTATTTCTAATTTTGTGTTCCTGGATCAGTTTCAGAGTTGGATAACGAGATGGAGTCATGGGCCTATGGGGATAGGAAAAAATGAGCAAACCCAGCTGAAATTTGCTTGCATTTCAACCCATTTACACAAGGTATCTTCACCCGACCCGAATTAAACCCGATATACTGCTAAGCATCAACCCACAGATCTGGGATCTTATCTTAACTGTACTTTCGCCGGCTGGACTTGTGTTTACGTAGAGGTGGCATGGAGCCTTGGACATGCTTATAAATTACAGCTGATTCCATGATCATCGACCAGAGTTCCTGGCAACAAACAACCATGGGGGTGGTCGATTTGAAGCTTCTGGGAACAAAACTAAGCCCGTTCAGCAGGAGAGTTGAATGGGTATTGAAGCTAAAAGGAGTAAAATATGAGTTCATAGAGGAAAATCTATTCAACAAGAGTTCATTGCTTCTCGCATCAAACCCATATTACGAGAAGATCCCAGTACTCATCCATGCCGGAAAACCAATATCAGAGTCGATCTGCATTCTTGAGTACATCGAGGAGAGGTGGAAGGGTAACCCCATCATGCCAGAAGATCCTTACGAGAGAGCTCGCGCCCGTCTTTTAGCTAAATTTGCCGACGAAAAGGTCAGATTATTTTCGTTTAGTTTCATTGATGGTTTTCTGCTAATCTGGATTCTGACCAGATATTATCGTCTGATCTGCCAGTTCTTCGAGGCAATAAAGACAGCTTTCGAATCAATAGGAGAAGTCCAGGCGAGAGCAGCTGAATCAGCAATGGAAGCATTGAAAATCCTTGAAGGAGAGATAAAAGGGAAGAAGTTCTTCGGAGGAGATAGAATCGGGATGCTGGATATAGTGGTTGGTTGGATTGCTTATTGGCTGCAATTGGTGGAAGAAGCTGCCGGTTTCAAGGTAATGGACTCCAAGAAGTTTCCATGGCTTCATTTATGGATGAAGAACTTTCTGGAAGTCAAAATCATCAAGGAGAACCTTCCACCTTATGATGAGCTGCGTCCCTTTTTCCATTACCTAAGGAAAGTAAAGTTAGATTGTATGAAATAATCACTCTGGTCTAATGTGTTATTTTTCTCGTGGTTGTAGTTTGAGGTGAAAAAATAATTCAGCATGTATTGAAATTTGCTTTTTGCTGCTATTGAACATAGCCTCTTATTATCTTCATAAGTGATGAGAACGCGTGGATGCATGGTTCTTCTCAATGTTGCTTAAAAAAATCGGACCAGACCAGATGGTTAATCAATGTTGAACCAGGAAAAAAAAACAATTTTGCACTTCATCCGGTGCATAGATGATCATTTATAGCACCTGATCTTGCAAATTGAGAGCCAGGAGCTTATAAAAAGGGCGTAGGTCAAGGTAGTAAAAATTAAGAAATGATTATTTAAACGCTCATAAGTTAATTTATATGACATTAAACAAAAGGAAATGGCATACCAATCCCATATATAGTTGGGGTAAGGCTTGGATGATGATGGTGATGGAGGCCCATCCCAAGGCCCATCTCACCCCTAGGGGCGGCAGCTCCTAGGATAAGGTCAAGAGTCCAAGATAAGTCAAGAAAGGATAATAGGATAATTCAAGATCCATTAAGACTCTTCCAAGACTCCAAGACTTATCAAGAATTTAAGATT